TACTACATATGGACATGCTAGTAGTCACAGCACTTGGGAGACAAGAGGATCATGAGTATGAGGCCAGTCAAAACCACATGGTAAGATTATGAATTAAATTAATAATAATAATAATGGAGTAATGGAAACAGCATTTACCCCTGGTGCGTGAATGGGCTTTTTTGAGCCCATTCTCTATGGAGGAATACTCTCTTAGCCTAGATATACAGAGAGCCTAGTTCCTCCCCAAATGATGTGACAGACTTGGATGATCCCCCATGGGAGGCCTCACCCACCCTGAGGAGTGCATGGGGGTGTGATGGGGAGTTGGTGGGTGGAGTGGGGGGGTGGGACAGGAGAGAGAGGGAACTGGGATTGTCATGTAAAGTCAGATTGTTTTTAATTTAGATAAAAATGAATTTTAAAAAGTGGAGGCTTAATAGTAACCTTATGCAATAAATAATATTACTAGCCATTTATGAGACTATTTTTCCAAACAATAACTTTTTCCTTTCTCTGAAAGCAATACTGCCTTCAATGTTTTATAAATACCTTTGCATTTGTTACTTTTCTGTTGTTATAACATACCATGACTTAGGTAACTTGGAGAAGGAAGAGTTAATTTGGGCTTACAGTTCCAGATGGTTGGAGTCCATCATGGTGGGAAGGCTTGGTAGAAGGCAGCAGTCATAGTAACTGATCAAGAAGCTGAGCAACTTGATTATCATAGACAAGCATGAGATAGAGAACTAATAGGAAGTGTAGGTAGACTATAAACACTCAAATCCAACCCCCAGCGATACATTTCCTCCAGCAAGACTCTACCTCCCAGTATTTCACAACCTTTCCAATCAGAACTTCCAACTTGGGACCAGGTATTTGAATATCAGATTGTATGGGGGCATTCTCACTCCAACCTTATAGCTCCTAAAACATTCTCTTTTTATAGATTTATACATGCTCATTTTGTTAAACACAGAGAAATGTAAAAGGAAAAGAATTCTTGCTCATATTTATGCCATGCAAATGCAGCTACTGTTAATAATTGAGCATATTCTTTTTCAGGATTTTTTCCTATTATATGACTAATATAGTGTCTTTAAACCTTGTAATGATAGTGGGCTAAATGTGAGCAAATCTAAGGCTTTATAAATAAAAAATAGAGCTGTACCTTTCTGAAGATAATATTTTCTAAATCTAACTGATATGATGCTGGGCTATTTCAGTTTGTGCATAATTTAGAAAACTTCTCACTTATCACCATTGTTGTGGAATATTATTTTAACTAGTCACATGTGTGTTATATTTGTTTATGATGCATTTGTTTAATTATAGAAGGTTGTGTTGCTTTTGTTTAACCTTACCTGCCTAAGGCATCTGACTGGTCTAATAAAGAGCTGAATGGTCAATAGCTAGGCAGAGAAATGGTAGGCAGGACTCTCAGGCAAAGAAAATAAATAGTAGGAGAAAGCTAGGAAAGGGAGGAACCAGAGGAGAGAATGAGGGAGAAAGAGAGGAATGCATCCAAGGCAAGAAGCCAGACAGACAGACACAAGAAGCAGTGAGAGCAAGACATACAGAAGGAAAGAAAAGTAAAAAGCCCGGAAGTAAAAGGTAGATAAATAGAAACATGTTAATTTAAGTTTAAAAAGCTAGCCAGCAATAAGCCTAAGTTAGACTGAGCATCCATGTCATGATTTGGGAGCTGGTTGGTGACCCAAAAGAAAAACCCTGGTACATACCATCACTTACATTTTGGGGCTATTGCTGACATGACAACTATGTTTTTAAGAGGGGAGGGGCAAGTCTTCCTTTTAAATCTATTACCTGATTATGATGTTTTAAAAAAATATTTATTTTATTTTTAATTATGGGAGGGTTGGTGCACATGAATGTAGGTGTCTGCAGAGGTCAGAAGAGGGCACTGGAACCCAGGGAGCCCAAGTTGCTGGTAGTGGCAAGCCACCACACTTGGTTGCTGGGAACCAAACTGTGTTTCTCTTTCAAACAGCGCACACTCTTAATGGTTGAGCCGTTTCTCAAGCCCTGATTGTGATTCTTTAGTGTAAAAAAACAGATTAAAAGTCCCATTCCCTTTTAAGTTACCCTGTGTTATTGGAATCCATATTTACTTCAAGTCTAGAAAAGCGCTCTTTGCCTTAATCATTAAAAATACAGTTAAAAATACTCAAGGATAATGGCCTCTGACTAGTTTTTCTCACCATCCCCTTCAGCCCACGAGTGTGCATTTGCTATATAGCAGCTGAGATGTGTCAGCCCTGGTCCAGGGACCAGTGAGGGCAAACTGGTCTTCAGGAGCATTGATCGTAGGCCTCACCAATTCACAGCCCAGACAAAGGTCAGCACAATTAGATCACTCTAATTGAAATGAGCTTTGGAAAAGCTAGAGTAACAGAATCGGCAAACCACCAGACCATGTTTGCTTTAGCAAAGAAGTCTTTCCCCGAGAAGTCCTTTAAATAACCTGTTCCCTTTTTGTACAATTAGCTTAATAACTGACTACACAGAAACATGTCTTTCAGGAATTGGTCCTGAGGAGAGTCCTGCACACAAGAACTTCCTGTTTTGCTGGAAAATCTCTTATACGGGGAACCTGTTTGACATATCAAATTCAATGAACAATTACCAAAGTTTTGTTTTAATTACAGGTGATGTAATTTGGGGTTTCATGGAGCTACAGGTAAAGTGGTTTCCTGTAACACGATAAATTGACATTGGGGTTCAAGCTTCAAGCTGAAGAGCAGAGAAGCAAAGCAGCCAAGCAGATCTTGCCTTTACCCAGATGAAGCGGCAATCGGGTCTCCACAAATCCTCAGAGGCAAAAGTCTCTGAGATCCTGTCTCCTCCTCCTTTTACTCAGTTCTCTGCACAGCCACATCCTCCTGTCTCTACCTCCCTAGTGCTGGGATTAAAGGTGTGAGATCCTAAGTGCTAAGATCATCTTTGTGTGAGCTGTTTCTTTTAGGACTGGGTCAATTTCATGTAGTCAGTGTGGCCTTGAACTAACAGAGATCTGTCTAACTCTTAATCCTGAGTCCTGGAATTAAAGGACTTTAATAAATCATAAACAATATATCACCACAGTTTCCTACTTTTTTTTTTTCCGCACCTCGTTCAGAGTATATAGAAGTGAAGGGAACATAAGGCATCAAATACAAAAATACTATTTTCAGTACAGTTGGAAATATCTGCACCAGAAAGTTCATGTCCAAGTTCTCTGTTATTTATTTTCTTGTTTGTGTGTTTAATTAGTTTTCTGAGGCAAAGTCTCCCTTCATTGTCCTAGCAGAATAGGAACTCATTATGCAGTCCAGACTGGCCTGGCACTTACAGCAATCCTGCCTCTACTTCAGCTTCAAATGTAGTATTAACCTGAGTCTTACAGAAATAATATGAGGGAATGGGTTTATTCCTAAGCACAAAATACCTCACTATCTTACATAACACATCACTCAATTCATTGTGCTTATTTTAAAAGACGAATGTGAAGATACAAGTAGAACAAGCTACCTAGTTTAACTGCTGTAGAATGAAAACCCTTTGTTTAGAAATTAATAATTTCAAGAGAGCAAGACCGGGGTCTAAAGAAAGAGATGGCCTAGCAGTTAGGAACATTGGCTGCTCTTCAGAGGAGCCTGGTTTCATTCCTACCACCCACATGCCAGCTCACAAACTTCTGTAATCCAGGAGACCCAACGCCCTCCTCTGGCCTCTGAGGGCACCCGGCATGGATAGGGTGCACAGACATACACGCAGGCAAAAACATCCATAGACATAGCTACACACACACACACACACACACACCTACACACACACACCTACACACACCTACACCTACACACACACACCTACACACACACCTACACCTACACACACACACACCTACACACACACACCTACACACCTACACACACACACACACACACACACACACACACACACGGGAAAAAAAAGTAAAGGGGGCAAGAAAAGCATGTTCAGGGCCTGCTGTGAGCTGGGCTTTTTGTGACTGTACATGTTTCATGCCGGTGAGGCCAGCCCCACCCTCCTGTGAATCCTTTTTCTTTCACTGCCTTGGACCATTTTTTCGTTCACTGTGCTGGGATGCCGGGTGATGCCGGCTTTGTCAAGCTGTTTAGTTTTAGGTTAAGAGTCTCAGCACAGCAATTAATGTATCAGGCAATCACTGGGGGTATATTATAACACAGCCGAACAGATTTCCTTTTCTCTCTCTCTCTCTCTCTCTCTCTCTCTCTCTCTCTCTCTCTCTCTCTTTTCTTTCTAATTTAAAGGCAGATTTACTGGTTGGCTTTAAATGAATTAATAGTTGCACATTGCAGCAAAAGCTGGAAGCCAGTATGGAGCACTCCAGAACCTTAGCCCAGGAGCTTACTAAGCAGCCAGTCAGTCCCTGACACCCTCTGTATTTTTTCCCATGGGGCCACAGATCTCCGTTGTCCCTGGATATCCCTAGGGGATGCTCATTCTGGGAAACCTTCCTTCTGTCCTGAGGCAGGGCATCCTGCACCTCCCTGCCAATCTTGAGGCCGCCCGGACACTGGGGGGGCCTTCCCAGCCCCGTTGTCCCCGGAGCTCTGCGTCCGGTCCCTAACTCTGGAGACGGCGCTCACTCCGCCTTCCCGGGCCGTCCGGGGATAGCGTGGGCGGTCAGGGCCGGGTCACCCAGGCCGTGCAGCCCGGAGACCCTGCCCTCCTCCTCCACGCTCCGCGCGCCCGGCCAAGGCAGCGCCGGGGTCCCACGCGGGCAGGGAACGAGCGGCTTGTGCGAGCGCAGCGCCCCCCGTGGCCGCGCCGCTCGTAGCCGAGCGGGGAGGCGGCGCCGGGCCGGCCCCCTCCCGGGTCGCCAGCGGTGTCGCGCCTCCGCCCGCCCCTGATTTCCTCCGCGCGGCGGCGGCGGCGGCGGAGGCGCCTCGTGCGCGCGGTTATTTATTTATTTCCGGGCCCAGAGCGCTTATAATGGAGCCGCTGTCAGCAGAAGCTCCTGCAGCCGCCGCCGCCGCCGCCGCCGCCGTCCCTGTCCCTCCTCTCTTGCTCCCCGGCAGATCTTTGTTGTGTGGGAGGGCAGCGGGGATGGACTTGAGCTTGCGGCTCTCCTGCTAGAGCAGCCGCGCTTGGAGAGGGCGCCGTCGCCACAGCAGCCGCCGCCCCAGGCCCCACCGGCCGCGGCCTCCGTCCCCGCGCCGCGCTTCGCGCGCCTCCCAGCACAGTGCCCTCGCGGTGGCAGATGAGTGTGGGGTCAGCCCACAGCGGGGACTATGGTGAAATTCCCGGCGCTCACGCACTATTGGCCCCTAATCCGGTTCCTGGTGCCTCTCGGCATCACCAATATAGCCATCGACTTCGGGGAGCAGGTAAGCCTGGCCGCGCCCGGTGCGTCCCGCTCGCCCAGCTTCGCTCGGCCTTGGACCCTTGGACGCCTGGCGCTGGGGGGTGCGGGAGGAGGGGAGTCACCTGCTCCTAAAGCCCCTTTACCTTGGAACATTTGACTTGGCTTTGCAGCTTGCTGAGGGTGACTTTTGCAGCACCCGGTTCCCTACCTCCGCAAATACTGGAGACTTTTCCAGTTTTCTCTGGAAAATGGCAAGCGACTGGGTGATGGGGAACATCACCTATAGAAGGGGGTTTCGTGCACGGGATGTGTATTATGTAATTTGAGATTATGTAAACCTTGGGCCCAGAACTCCTTGTAGTTTCTAGTAGCATTGAGTGCTGGCTTTTTACTTGCACTCGGTTGGTGGGAGAATTTGCCTTACAATGATGTCTCCAAGTTGATTTCCCACGTACTTCCAATTTTTACATCTTCGCTTATAGCCTAGAATAAGGTTTAAGGCTACCCTGAAGGTGCCGTGCTTATCGGACCACTGACTATCTTTACTTTAGGATTTCTGTTTCCTTTTTTTTTTTTTTTTTTAACCCTTCCACCTCCTTGGACCTGTAAAGAACTCGGACATTTCTGGTGCTGTCTTCTCGTCCTTGTTTCTTCTTTCATATTATCTCCATGTGGCGTCATTGTCATTGCCAATCTGGTGCTGCAGGCTCTCCAGCGGCTGGGAGGCACCGGATCCCACACTTCGCCTGTGGGAACTGCTTTTTGCAGGGTTTCCAGGCGGGTGCAGTTACATCCTAAAGCCCAGGAGAGGATTTGGGGATGGGAGCTTCATCTTTTCAAAACTCTAAGGTAGATCTACTTTTGCAAATGGGCTCCTTCCCCCAACCACTCCCGTGTTTCAAAGCAGCGGGGTAAATGTTCTTTTGTTCTTTCTGGGGAGCCCTGTGTTTGGGGATGGAGGTGGGAGTGAGCAGTTGTAGACAGTGACAGGGTAGGCAGGTGTAGTCCACCTCTCTGTGAGGACCAGTGACTCATATGCATAGGCTAAGAGGCACAGAAAGAAGCACAAGGAAAACAAAGTATCTGCTTCCCATGCCTTGGAGTAAGAAACTCACCATCATCAAAACATCTGTCAGCTTTAAAGTCCCTGTCCTGTGGGTAACAAAAGACCAGGGAAAGCTTTTCAAACGTTTCTTGGGTAGGTTTTGTTTATAATTATAAACATCATTTAGTGGTTTCCTCAGAGACCTTGGCGGAACTTTTAGAGTGGAAATTTAGACTCCACTGAAAGGTTTGAACACTGCGCGTTGGTGATCACATAAAGGAACCACCCAAAGGTCTCAGAGCATATGTGTTGTAGGGTGCCAGTAGGGGATCTGTAAATCCATTCCTAGCTTCCTGATTCTCTACATGAACATTATGGACGTCTCTGTCATTTTATAGCTTGCTGGGGAGGCAATACAGTGGCATATTCTAACAATTACAAAAGCTGTTATCAGCTGGGCCTGGAGGCACACACTTTAATCCCAGCACTAGGACAGTGGAGGGAGAATCTCTGAGTTCAAGGGCAGCCTGGGCTACACCAAGAATCGGTTCCAACCAGTTCCAGGTCAGCCCCCTATCTACACAGTGTGGCTATCTCAAAAACAGACAAATAAACAAAGCCCACAAACAAATCTATTATCACATAAAAAAAAAATGACAGTCTTGAGAAGTTGGGGTGGATTGAGTTCTCCACTGAACAAGAAAGTTATATGTAGAACAAAATGATTGTTTTCAATCTATATATAAGCATTATAGCAAAGAATAAGAAACACTTTTGATAACTTTATATGTATGTGCATACATATATGCAATTATCCTTTTAGCCCCATTATTATTGCTTGATAGTCTAAAGTATTAATCACTTCCATTCATTGATTATCAACTACAGGCTTAAAATATCATGTTATATTTATGCATGTTATATTTGAGGGATGACTGAGAGGTTTAGGCGTGGTAAATCTCATGCCCAAGAAATGCGTAGATAGTAAATGGTAGACTTGAACTTGAACTTCAGGCCTACACCCCCCTTGGTTGCGCAGTGAGGATTTCTCAGGTGTCTTAGAAACTTAGAACTAAGTTTCTGGCTTTCCAGCTCTCATCCTAGACTTAAATTTAATCTCAGATGCCATATTTTGAAACTTAACATTTTTATTTCTTCACTCATGTATTGACTAGATGAGAAGCACAGACACAGCCCTGCACACCCAAGGTGATGGAGAGAGAAAGAGCTCACAAACTTCCCCAAGAAAGTCAGAGAACAACTTGTGGAAGTTCAGGCTCTTGCTCCTTCATCCTGTGGGTGCCAGGGATTGAGCTCAGGTTGTCAGGCCCGGCAGCAAGCATCTCTATGAGCTGAGACATCTGGCCACTCCCAGATTTTGAGCTTGAAAGTCTCAATAGATAAAGGAAAATTATGGAAGAGTCCTCCCATGGAAGGGAAACTGTAGCCCAGAAATTCATGTTAGAAGAGATGGTCATTCAGATTATTCAGTGAAAACAATATTTAATTCTAGTAAGGTTGGCTTAGTCTTTGGTGGAGGAGAAAGAATAAGAAACAGCCAAGCAAGGTGGTGGTACGCACGCCTTTAGTCCCAGCACTCGGGAGGCAGAGGCAGGCGGATCTCTGTGAGTTCAAGGCCAGCCTGGTCTACAGATCAAATTCCAGGACAGGTTCCAAAGATGCACAGAGAAATCCTGTCTCAAAAAAAGTAAAGAAAATCAGCCAATACCTCATAATAAAGCTATTGAAATCAACCTTTACCGTAGAACAATGTCGATTGCTAAGGAAAGAAGCAAAATGCTATGGTATATTTCATTTTAGAATTGTATTTATTAGTGTGTGAGGGTGTGTGTGTATGCATGCATGTGTGTGTGTAGACACATATATGTGTGGATGTATACCATGGCACACATATAGAAGTCAAACAACAACTTTGGAATCACCTCTCTCCCATTTTTGGGCAGGTTCCTGCTGCCAGACTCGTGTGTGTGAGGCAGGAATTTCACTCACGGAGTACACCCTAGGGTTTATTTTAAAGAACATATATCTTTTATGCTATGGGTGTCTGTCTGTTTGGCCACCAGGAACAGAGTCCTGGTTCACCAAGTGTCTTAGTCAGGGTTTCTATTGCTATGATGAAACACCATGGCCAAAAGCAAGTTGGGGAAGAAAGGGTTTACTTGGTGTTCATGCCCACATCATAGCCTCTCATTGAAGGAAGTCAGGACAGGAACCCAAGCAGGATAGGAACTTGGAGGCAGGAGCTGATGCAGAGGCTATAGAGGGGAGCTGCTTATCGGCTTGCTCCCCATGGCTTGCGCAGGCTGCTTTCTTATAGAACCTAGGACCACCAGCACAGGGGTGGCTCTATCCACAATGGGCTGGCCCCTCCCACATCAATCAGGAAGTAAGGAAATGCCCAACAGTCCAGCCTACAGTTAGATCTCATGGAGGCCTTTTCTCAATGGAGGTTCCCTCCTCTCAGATGACTATAGCGTGTGCCAAGTTGACATAAAAACCAGCTGGCACATCAAGTCACATAGAATAAATAACTATTTTGAAAGGTACTTAATAGCACTTAAAATGTTAAGGGCAACATGAATAAAGAGTGTTATAGTTGTCTCAAGAAGAAATTTATACTATCGAGTGCCAGACTGCCCTCATTCTGACACTAGGTAGATCCCCTCCCCCACCCAGGCTAGACTTGAACTCCTGGTTCTCCTCCTTCTGCCTCCTAATCTCTGAGACTAGAGGTATGTGCTCCTATGCCAAGCAGATATCTCTGATGGCTCTAAAGAAGTCACAGAGTTTGGTAGAGTTGAGTGTGATCGTGTCACATTGTGAGCTATCTGACATGGGCCCTCTGGAAGTGCAGTATACATTCTATACTGTGGATCCAGGTCCTCAGCCCCAGCCTAGTCTTTGTTAAGAAAATCCTTCCTAATATGGAAAACCTAGGGTTAGACTTCTAAGTTAAGAGTGTCTGGAGTTGTCAACCTCATAGATGGAGGAGGGAGAATGAAAGGGCCAGGAAAAAAGTCAGTAAGTGTTTTTCCCTTTTAAAATATGCCTTCCTTCCTTCCTTCCTTCCTTTGCAAAACAAAGTTTTTCCATAGACCAAGAGGTATAGGGACAGAAAGGGTCGATATTGGTGTGGGCCAGAGTGTCACTTGGAAAGGACTCTTCTTCATTCGGGGTCACTGAGATATGCAGGGACCTCCTGGGAGGATTTCCTGCTGTCATGATCACAGTGTCTGTGTCTGTGGGCACAACACCAAAGTGCTGAAAAATGGAAATGTCAGTCCCAACCTAAGTTTCTAAATGATAGCAGGAGAGACACCTTACCCTTTCAATCTGTTCTGTATTGGCGGGATAAATTTCAATGTAATTACTTTCCTCATTATAAAAGTAAGATATGGCCAGGTGCTATAGGGCATAACTAGAATCCCAGCATTCAAGAAGCGTGCGCCACATAGTGAGAAATTGTCTCAGTTCTTAAAATGTAAAATATGCTAGTTATTAAAGTTTGGTAAGAGCTGAAAAGCAGGGGCTGGGAGGAAGATTTTTTTACAAGTTCCACTATGAAGAGAAAGTTGTAGTGATGTGGACATTTCTTGTCATCTAGTGTCATATATAAGTGTGTATAATGTTTCAGTGAGTGTCCTGTATATGTGTGTATAATGTTTCAGTGAGTGCTATGTATATGTGTGTATCATGTTTCACAGAACATAGAAGCATTTTCTACATATAATTTTAAAGTATTTACGGGTCTGTGGATGTATCTTAGGGTAGCCTGTTTACATAGAAGTCTCAAAGGCCCTGGCTTCAGTCCTTAACACTTACCACCCCCACCCCACCCCCTCAAAAAAAAAAAAGAAAGAAAAAGAAAGCCCAACCAACTAAACAAACAACAGCCCTATAAGTGTTGAGTGTGACTTTAAATGGCAGTGTAATAATTTCACTTGACTTGTGTACAT